GGGCAGCCTTCTGGGGTGGCCTTGTTCTGGCCTGATGGCTCCTAAGGCCGGGTCTGCGGGGTCCCTCTTGGCTCCTCTCATTTTCCCAAATCTTAGCTGCAGCCTCCCCTTTCTGGGGCCCCACCCTGACCTCCCAACCACAGGCCTCCGCTGGCTCAGGCCCGCACCAGCCTCCGGCCACCAGGAGCCCGGGAGGGGCGGTCCGGAGAGGCCCTGGCCCCCTGGGATGGGCGGGAGGGCCAGGGCCCGGGCATCCGGCGGCCGGGGCTCCGGGTGGAGCCGGTTCCCGGGCTCAGGGTTTGAGAGGCCTTGACGGTTTTTTCTGGCAACTGCCGGGCACGGCGGGCAGAACCGAAGGGCCCGGGATGGGCGCCTCCGGGGTCCTTCGGGCTCCACTCCCCACCAGCTGGGCGGGCGGCGGGCACGGGACCGGAGGGCCATCCCAGACTCCGGGCCGCAGCGCGGGGCCCTGGCGCCCTCTGGTGCTCGAGGCAGGGACTGCCGCGCCCTCCGCCGGCCCAGCTGCAGGAAGAGCCGTCCCTGCGGGGCGCAGCCGGAGTTCCGGGGCCAGCACAGCGGGCACATGGCCGGCAAGTCACCCCAGGGGACCGGGCGGCCGCCTGGCCCTGCCCCTGAGGGTCCTTCCCGGGACCCCACAGCGGTCCCTATGCGGCCACAGCAGGGGGTCCCCAAGTGCCCGCAGCAGGGGGTCCCCATGCGCCCACAGCAGGGGGTCCCTAAGTGCCGGCAGCAGGGGGTCCCTATGAGCCCACAGCAGGGGGTCTCCATGTGCCCGCAGCAGGAGGCATCCGCTCGCAGGGAGACCTGGGCGCGCTCCCCGCCCCCCAACCCTGCCCCGGGCTCCCTTGGGCGGGACGGACGGCCGCGACCCCAGAACAGTCTCTTGAGTGTGAGGTTCTGGGTCTTGCCTCAAACCCACAACGAAAGTTGCTCTGGTGATTTATTTGCTTCTAAAAATGCCAGCTCTACCTGGAGGGCTCAGGGCCGCACTGCCCGTAGGTGGCCACGGCCACATGGGGCTACTACTGAGCACTTGAAGAGGAACCCAAGTGTTCATGTTAATTTAAATGTAAAAGCAAGCCTTGTGAAGTTTGCTGGGACACAGCTTTGCTTTGGGTAGGACTGCATGTCACTTTGAAGGTTGAGAATGTAGCGTCCAAGCTGCTGTGAAAGTACACCCCAGATTTACATTCTTAGTGCAAAAATAAGAATGTAAAATACCTCATTCACTTTAAAAATTAAAAATTTAGGGCTTTTTAAAAATTATTTTTAAACTAGAGGCCCAGTGCACCAATTTGTGCATGGGTGGGATCCCTCTGGGTGGCCTGTAGGGACCAGGCCAAAACCCGTAGTCCAGCACTGCCCGCAGCTCCTACCTGCTGCTCCCCCTCATCCGGGCCCCACTAGTCCCGATGGGGAGAGGCTTGTGCTGCAGCAGCCCTCACCAGCCATGAGCCATGTGTCTGGCGCCCTCCCAAGGGGAATGACCTGAGGGATCCTGCTGAAACCAGCTCTCAGACATCCCCTGAGAGGCCCGATTGTAGGCCAGACTGAGGGACCCCACTGGTGCAAGGTCCCGTCCATCTCACTCAGTCTTGATGGGCTGGACCCCAGCAGCAAGCTAACCTACCAGTTGTAGCAGCTGACCCCTGGTGGTCAGTGCATGTCACAGAGACTAGTCGACCAGTTGACTGTCTGCCCCATGGTGGCCAGTGCATGTCATAGCAAGCGGTTGAGTGGCCTTAGGACTTGAGGATCTCTCTCTGATGATCAGTGACTTTGTGCATTTTTTCATATGTCTCTTGGAGAAGCGTCTAGATAGGTCTTTTGCCCACCTCATTCCTTTTTAAATAGTAATCACACACTGGAATATTTTGGATATATTGAATAAAACTTATTTTTACATTAAAATATGTTTTTATTGATTTCAGAGAGGAAGAGAGAGGGAGAGATACATCAATCAGCTACCTCCCGCACGCCCCCTACTGGGGGTGGAGCCTCAACCTGGGCAAATGCCCTGGAATCTAACCAGGGGCCTATTGGTACATGGGATGAGGCTCAACCACTGATCCATACCAGCCTGGCTACCTTTTTCTTTTCTTCTTTTTTTTTTTTTAATGTGGCTACTAGAAAGTTTTAAATTACTTTTGTAGATGGCATTCTATTTCTATATTTCTGCTCTAGGGAGTGGGCTGGGCTAAGTCTGATTTTTATTTTCTGGCTCTACTGCAGGCCCTGACCCTAAGAGACCCAGGGGCAGGGGGAGCCAAGTTCAAAGGATGAACCTGGGAGCATCCGGTGGGGTCCCAGGTGGCAGGCTCACTTAGGCGTTATATGGGCACCGGCCTTGGCACAGCATGGCTCCTGCAAAGAACACTCCTCTTTTGACCTGAAGACCTGGGTTCCAACAATGACTGTGCCACTCACTGTGCCCAAATCTCTTGGCACCTCACAAGCAGTGACTGTGGAATGGGGCCAAGTTCGGGTCTCCTCCTCCAAGGCTCCCAGGGCCCGTGAGAGAGCCACAGGGGAAGCCCGCTTTGGCCACTGCTGCCGGCTCTCCTGAGGAGGGCATTACGAAGACTTCACGTTTCTGGGATGCTGACTTGCTACCAGCATAATTCATTTACCCTCCGCTGAAGTACGACTTTGAAAAGCTTTGGTCCACTCTCTGCAATGCACCCCAGTGGCCAGTAGCAGGCTCCTGACTCCTTGCTCATAGAATTGGATAGAACACAATCGGGCTGAAGCTTCAAAGGGAGCTGCTTGCTCTGCACGGGGGATGTAGCTGGCAGGAGCCATGGGAAGGCCTAACCCCACAGCTGTCCAGCAGTCCCCTTCCAGGTCACCCGGCAATGACCAGGCAGCCAGAAGGTCGAGTTTTGCTCTTAGGAAACCCAAGTCTGTTCCTGCCCCCTCAACCGCCTGACACCAGGCCTAGGAGCCAAGTTTGAGTCCCAAAGAGCTCTGAGGAGCCCAGGCTCCTTCAAAACGAAACATCTTTCCCATGGGCGCAGCGTGCGCGCGCGCACACACACACATGCACACACACACACACGCACACGCACACGCACACACACACACCCACAGCAAGAGGGGAAACGATCCCGACTTTTACCTTCTAACATTAAACCCCAACAAGGCAAGTCTTCAGTTCCAGGAAGTTGTGTGTGCACAGACCCCACAAGAGGCACTGGCCAGCAGTCGGCTGAAGACGGATGTTCTCGGCCCATCCTGGGATCGGAGTCCCTAGAAGCCTGCGAGCTTCTCTCCTCAGCAGGGCTGCTCACGACAGGTGCTCCAGGGCCTCTGCAGGCCAGACTGAGGGCCACACCCTCCTTGCCCTGTTCTAGGCGGGCGCAGGAAGTACCAGGGCCGCGTCCCGAAAATGCATCCCCGGGTGGGGTGGGCGTGGCGGGGAGAGCAGCTTCGGAGATGGCAAGAGAACTTAAATGGGTGAAGTCCCTTCATTCCCAGGACAAGGTGCCGCAGACACCCCAGGGTCCCTTCGCGAGGAAGGGGCCTGGCTCAGGCAGGCAGCAGGACTGAGGCCGAGGCAGTGGTTACGGACGGGAGAAGCGACGCGGTGCCAGCCCTACCGCCATCCTCCACAGTTTTTAAAGGAGCTGCCGTGTGTGACCCACTGATCCAATTCTCCCCTCAGCTGAAAACGGGCGTCCAAACTCCCAAAGCTCTTGGGGTTCCAAAACTCAACCCCTGCTCTTGAAACCTTGGTGTTTCTCGGGGTGACATGATTCCTCTCTCCAAATACTGTGTCCCGTGATGTTTCAGAGGCTAGGTGCAGTTGAGTCAGTGTCAGACCTACTAGTTTAGGGAACTGAAGGCTGGCTGTACAGCTAGTTAGTGCAGGAGATGGGACTATTATAGAATTCACACTGCTGGTTCAGTCCTGGGGCCCACTCCACCCTTGGCTGAGGGGCCAGTGAGACCACCTGCACAGAGCCTATGCAATGCCTGGCTTCTGAGTACTGGAGGCAGCCAGGGTAGTTTGAGGTGTTTTCACATAGGACATTGCTCCGATGGCTTTACCTCTCTCCCCCAGGTGAGAGGTAAAGCCATACAAAGCTGGCTTACTGCAGAATACATGAGGATGCAACAAGGAAAAAAAAGGGGGGGGGGATGAATAAGAAGAAAACGGGGAGTTAGAGGAATGAGAACATGTGACCAAAGGAACGCTTTGTCTTAAGGGTCTGCTGACAAAATCCAACAGATTCTCCAATAAACTAGGTAATAGCTCCCTCTGGTGGCCACTGAGGGCGATGCCTCAGGAAGGGAAATGCAGCGATAATCCGTGGCTAACTTTTGATGGACCCATTGCTCTCCCCTCGCTGCTGAGGCTGGCACCTGGCACAGGGGGGACCTGCTGAGGAAGACTGGCCCCCAGCAGGAAGCTGCACTGCCTGCGGACTCCAGCATCAGTTGCCGGGGTCTGGAAGGTTTGGGCTAACGTGGGAGCCATGGCTGCTGATCCACTTGGGGTCACTGGGTCCTTCAGGCCACAGGACTTGATAGGAGAAATGGCTCTTTAAGGCTCTGGGGAAGCCTCCCGGCCAGCCCTGTGCACAGCCAGCAGACACCTGCTGCTCCAGGGACAGGCCTCTGAGGGCAAGGTCTCGGTTATTACTGCCTACAAGCGACTCTCCCGTCCCACGCTCACCCAGTCTGCCTTGTAAGAGCTTCTGCGCAGGAAAAGGAAAAGGAAAAGGCCAGCTGCTGTGCAGAGGAGCCAGGCGAACAGGGAGGACGTTAATAAAAACAGGCCAAGTAATCACGGGGGCCAATCTCATTCACCAAGGTCCAGCCGTTTGCCAAGGTATATACACATTTTATTTAAAAAAAAGTTTACAGTTTTCATTATACACAACTATTAAGAGGTTATAGTCAGAGGAGGCATTTGTCCTGGTGACACAAGTGCCACTAGATCATCACAATGCAAGGGAAAAGATGGAAGGGGGGAGATGGGGCGAGGAAAAATAAGTGGTAAAGAGCTCAGATTTCAGCTAAGGGCTGGCGAGTCCCTTTTATCTCTTCAAGTATCACACAATATGTACCAAATACAATCAGTAAGTAATGGCCGTTCCTCCCCGAGGCCACAGCCAAGACCAGCATTTGCTGGATTAAGAGTCCTGGCCCTTCCTTCCTCAGGTGAGGAGAAAACCTTCACACCTGAGCCGTTAGCTCCCCGTCCCCCAGGGGCCTCCACTCCAGCCAGTCCCTATTGGGATCGCCAAGGTGTCCGTGGCCACAGGAAACATGGACATGGATTCAGCAGTCCAAGAAAACCGGGTGTCTGTGCCCAGTCAGAAATGCTTTGATTTCAGTCAACAAGGCTGTGAACCCAGTTAGGAAGCTGGTGAAATAAAACTTACTTCTGTTGATGGCTTTCACTTTTCTAATCGAGTTCCTAGGACACAGAAGGGTCACCTGCCACAAAATCCAACACTAGTTCCCAGAAGCTTGGCCCCTGGAGCTAGTGGAAGATGTGTCTCATGATTAGCAGCCATCCCAACAGGAGGTGTCTTACAAAGCAAGTGTCCTTGGCCAAGGCCAAGTATGGCTCCAGGGAGACGTTTGGGAGGGGAGCATTCCTTTGAGGGGAGACACCCTCCAAGAGCTTAGATCAGCCAGTTGGCAATTAGAACAGCTTTGGAAGTGGAAGAAAAATGTTAGGTACATGGCAACTTGTGGTAATTATCTCACTAGTATAAAATGCTGGTTGAAACTGCACAGTCAAGTCAAGGAGGGCAATGAGACTGAAGACTAAAAGAGCAAAGGCGCCATAGTCTAGGTTGGCTACCAATAGACACAACCCACCAGGCTGGGGCTTGGGCCGAGGAGAGCAGTGGATCCACTGCCGCAGCCATCTTGCTCGTTGGTGTTTGGCAAGAGCTGGAGCTCGGTCATTGAAAGGGGCAGAGAAGGGCCGGTGCTGGTAAACCACAGGGTAGAATTTTAAAAGTGACCAGTATTATGGAAGGGAAACTGCCAGAAGCAACCCTGACTTACCACCGCCACTTCTAAACGCAGTAACACCTGGCCCTTCTGAGGGGCTCCAAATGCATCTGAGCTGTGATGAGACAAGCTGGCAAAGTGCTTGGTGCTGAGACCCCCCTGCCTTGGCCTCCCTCTGCCATCTGTTACTGAGGGCCCCGACCTCAGATCCATGCCAGGCCTCTTCCAGCCCCCTCTGCACTGTTAAGTACGGTCTCCTACTCCCACCTCTTCCAGGCACTGGGAAGGGACACAAAGTTAGCTTTAAGAAGGGATTCTGTTCAACTTACCCACAGTCCCCTTGGAAGTGGAGAGCTAAAGACCCACACAGAGTGAGGAACATGCATGGGACCAAGGTTAGTGCTCTGATGAGTGATTTGCACAGAATGAGTGATTTGAGTAGCAATTCTGGAAGCTTCCAGTACTAATAGAGAAGCCCTAATTACACTTTCATCACACAGACGTGGAGACCACACACACACACACACACACACACACACACACACACGCACGCACGCGCACACACACACACACACACACACACACACACGCACGCACAGCAGCCACACTCGCGTCTGGTTCTTATCGCCTGCACCCCGCTCCCGTCTTCCCGTGGGATTCTGCACTACCAGATCTCTAGCGCCGAGCTCTCATCACAGGCAAGCTGGTGTCTTTTCGTTAGAAAAGCAAGGATTCAGTCGAGGAGCTTAGCTGTGGCACATACCTTTCCTAAACTTGGTTCTGCTAGTTTTTGGGGACAAGATTTAAAATAATTGGTGTTTTTTTTTTAAGGTAATTAGAACACTATTGTTTATACAATATTGAAAAAATACAATTTTTTATTGTTTGAACTCAAATCACCACCCAGCACTTTAAGCCTACCCTAAGTCGCACCTACAATACCGGTTATAGCACAAGCAAACTGCTAATTCAGCAGGTAAGCAAGTTAGACAGTGCCAGCAGACCCTCCCTCCCCCAAAGCAATGAGAAGACAACGTGCTAGATAAGAGTGAAGTACACCGTTACATGGTAAATGGTTAACACTACCCTTCCAACAAGCCACAAATGCCAGGTCGGCAACTCAGTAAGGTTAACTCACCACAGCCTTACGTAACTGCACTTTTAATTTTTGTAAAGAAAACCTTTTGCTTCATGCCCGTAATTAACATAAAATAAGTAAATTCTTTGTCTTTTTTTTTTATTTAGGAAAATAATCATGCTAAAAGCAAGTTGTACTTTATATAGATTTTCAAAGAAAAGATTGATTGTGCTTTTTGACTAAAAAAGATAGGATATCTTCCAACCTCATTGACTCAAATCTTATGGAATATAGCACTTCTAAACTAAAAACACACATCAGAAAGAGAAATTAAATTATCCCGGTGGGACATTCAAAAATTGTCTTTAGAAGGTTTTAGGATTGGCTAATTCTGTTCTTGTCCTACTGGTTGCGACACAAAACGAATACAGAGGTGCTGTCTAGAGTTCTCCAAACTCAGCAGGCAACACTCAGATCGGAAAGAAACTGCCGGCCACCTGGACATATGGTTAGCCGAGCACACATTTCATTAGCAAGCATTGTCAGCTGTCTGATTTCCTCTTACCATGCACAGGAGAGAAGACTTTCTTCCTTCTAACCTGTTTTACTACTGCCTCACTTTTCCGATTCCTTTCCTCCACTCAGTCACACTCCGGAAAAAAGCTGTGTTTTTCCCACGTACAGTCACTTTGGGTACAAGATACTTTATTTGTTCCAATTCTCACTCGTGAAATTTAGAATATGTGTTGGGTCTAAACTACCCATTTCCCCACTCCCACAAGCAGATGATGACCAGGCCGCTGCCCAGAGCAGCAGCAGCAGGAAAACCAAAACCAAAACCAAAACGCGGAGGAGAGAACCCAGGAGTCTCAGCCACCAGAAAGGTCGTCTTCCTGAGTCTACTGGTCCACGGAGCGGCTCTCCACAGAGGAGGCCGTCTCTTGGCAGGTGGAGGTTAAATGTGTAACCTGTCTAAGCACAATTCACACACACGCCGAAAACCCAAATCCAAACCCCCAAATCAAAAAGAACCCACAACCACCCTCAGATTTAAAGCTCTCAGCCAGGGTAGCATCTCAAAGCGGCCAATCGGAGGAGGAGGTGACTGCACGTGCTGGAGAGGAAGCATCTTCCCAGTCACTCCTCTCTTTCTGGCCTGTCCTCCCAAAAAAGGTCTGGATCACAAGCTCTCCCATAGAAAGAGTCCAGTTCAGAAAACACTTCGCACAGGTTCTCCAAAGGAATCCACCCCAGAGGAACGGCTGCAGGGCCGAGTAGCCAGAAGGGCAGGAATCTACATATAAAAATGCACTTAAAATCCGAGTCAAAAATTGTTTTAAGTTTCAACACTCCAATTAGCTCCCTGCTTACACTGTTACTCCACAGCAAGAGGCCACCCAGGTCGGACCACAGGAGGGAGCAGCTCCGGACGCGCTGCTCTCCACGCTCCCGGCAGGCCCGTGCCTCCCCACCTCCTCCTCTCCGTCTGAAAAAGCACTATTCTATCTTCACATCCAAGAGCTGGTTGGTTCGGTTTGTTTCTTTGGAACCATCAATAAAAGAAGCAACTTTTTCCTGTTATGTTTACTTGTCTACCTATCAGAGCGGCTATTTCTTTTGACAGTTAGTAGCACACAGGCTGACTTGGCCAAATGGACTTATGAATGCATGCATCCAGACCGCATATTGCTACCAAAATGGAATGTGGGAATATGCTATGCACCTCAGGTTGAGAAATGACCAAGAAAATCAAGATCTAAAGGGTGATATATAATATATATATATCAATGCTATTATTCATAAAAACCTTGTTTAGTAATAAAAAAAATTGCTTTGTTTAAATATGAATATTATAGTCTGCTTCTCATGGTTAGGAAATAATAGTCTTTCTGAAAAGCAGGTGCTTTTTCTACTACAACTCCATATCCTGGGCCTCATCTTCTGAAAAGTCAGACATAGAACTCTCCGACGAGCTGTCACCAGTGCCTTCCTCCTGCTCCTTCAGCGCCTCCTCCGTTGCGTATTTCTGGATGTACTCTGCACAGGGGAGGGAGAAAGAAAACACAGGGGCAGTAAGCAGGCAGGCATGTGCTTTATGACCCCAATGTTGGCAAGTCCCAGGAAGTCCCAGCTCTCCCAACATGGGTGGGTCGGTGGGAGGCAAGATAACATTTATGGTCACAAAAACCAAGGGAAGACTTTGGAGTTTATGAACTTTACACCATTAGGAGGAGAGGCAAAGCAGGACGGGGACTTGTAGGGGGATAAATACACTGTGTCACCATCTAGACCTCCCTGGGCCATCGCCTCCCAGATGTAACACCTGTCAGGTGGGGGAATACCCTCCGATGGATGTACACAAGGCAGCCAACCGCCCTTGGCACAGGAAGGTCAGCAGATACCCAGGCCGCCGCCCAGCGTGAAATCAGCCCTCTAACCTGCAGTATGACTGCCCTCCTCCAAACGTGATGGTTTGGGAACATGTGTTCTCTGCCCTTTCTTGTAACTTTCTATATTAATAAAACTATTCACCTCCCAGATAGCACTGGACTAGTTATGATTCTATAGTAATTTATAAGGAAACCCCCCACCATTTTTAGATTTGCAGTTATATAATTGTAGTCAGCCAAATCTGTTATTTTAGGAATAGATTTGAGTTTAAACAGATCCTGCCTGTGAGGTTTCTGAAGCAGCTGGAAAAGCATTCTCTCAGTTTGCTCAGGAACGAGCTGCTGTCTGAGACAGCCACCTGGAGAGACTTTAGCATGTATTATTTACCTGAAGATTCATGCTGCTGTAACCTAGGTTGAAAAAACATTTAAGAACTGCTGAAAAACAACTAATCTTGTTTCTAAGATCTTTAAGGGCACACTGTTCTCAAATAAATAGCCTATACACAATATGAAGAGACAGACATTTAGATTCCCATTCAGAATGCCATCGGGCACACACATCCTCATCTCCTTACACTTTGTTTTTCCTCCCAGGGGATTCCTTAGGGGCTAAATAAGATGAAGATGAGGAAACAGCCAAATGGGACTGTCAAATCTGAATAACAGCGCAGGATCCTAGATAAGGATTTTTAATTTTTAATTTAAATGATGAGTGAGAATCATTGATCGGCTTCCTCCTGCATTCCTCCCCTCCTACCCACTGGGAACAGAGCTCACAATCCGGGCATGTGCTCTGACCAGGAATCGAACGGTGACCTCATGGTTCACAGGTAGATAATCAATGAGCCATGCCAGCCAGGCTAGATAAGAATTTAAAAAAAAAAAATATTTT